GACAAAAGCTGCAATCTATTCGTGGGGAGCAGCATGTGGCACTGCTGGGAACCGGGCCCAGCCCCCTGTATGAAATTACAAGTACTCAAATACCGGGACCAATTCCCAGCTTCACCTGAGAGCCGACCTCGTCCACCACATAGGTCGGAATCTGATACAAACAGTAGGCAAGAAACCTCACCGAATCCCATAATGGTTTCAAGTAGACTTCAACTCTTCATCTTCCTTCGACGAGCCGACCTCCTCCACCAAATAGTTTGAATTTAAAGATACAAATGGTAGGCAAGCAACCTCACCGAATCCCATAATGATTAGAAGTAGACTTCCACTTTTCATCTTCCTTCGACGAGCCGACCTCCTCCACCACATAGTTGGAAGAAGAAGAATCGAAGTAGTCCACCCAATCACTTTTCTTCATAGTAGAACATTTTAGAACTTCGTCCCCCGCCAGCATTAATTACCCGGGCTACCAGGATTTTTTCCTTTGTATTTTGTCCACCCCCTCCCTCCACCCACTCTCTCCACGACACAGACTCTGAGGGGAAAGGAGAGGACATCAGCTCTCTGTCATGACGGGAAACAGAATTGCCCTCACGCTGATCAGAAAACCCCTCCCTCCTGGCCTTGAGCTGCCAAGAGGCGGCCCCTTCTTCTCATTGACCCCAGCTCAGAACAAGCCCCCTAGCGAATCACCACTCCCTCAAGAACAGAGAGTTCCCACCAAAAGCCTGTCCCTGCAGAACAGTGGTTCCCCCGACCTCCATCCCAGTCCTCCCCGCATGGGACATCCCCCTAAGGACAACCCTGAGAAAACCACCTGTCCATTGATGAAAGATTCCACGGAATTCCTAGAAAAACTAAGGTTCTAAGAAAATCTAAGAAATCCTAAAGGAGTAGAGGAGGGAATCTTCAAAGCTACCCTTCCGCTCTCTCCACAACACACAGGGGAAAAGAGAGGACAGCACCTCTCCACTGTGAAGAGAAATAGAATTGCCCTCATTCTTACCAAAAACCCTCCGTCCTGTCCTTGAGCTGCCCCCAGCCCCCCGTCGATCGGAGCCCCCTTCTCCTCAGTGACCCCAGCTCAGGACAAGCCCCCTAGCGGACCATCGCTCCCTCAAAAACAAGCAGTTCCCAACTTCCCACCGAAAGCCTCTCCCCTCAGAAAGACGGTCCCCAAACCCCCCATCCCAACCCTCTCAGAATGGAACAGCCCCCCGAGGACAACCCTAAGACTACCTCCTCCCTTTACCCACTCTCTCCACGACACAGAGGGGAAAAGAGAGGACATCACCTCTCCATCGTGACGAGAAACAGAATTACCGTCACTCTGATCAGAAAAACCCTCCCTCCTGTCCTTGACCTGCCCCCGTCGAGAGGCGGCCCCGTCTCATCATTGACCCCAGCTCAGGACAAGCCCCCTAGCGAACCACCAGTCCCTCAAGAACGAGCAGTTCCCACCAAAAGCCAGTCCCTGCAGAACGGTGGCTCCCCCAACCTCCATCCCAACCCTCTCCGTATCAAACAGCCCCCTGAGGACAATCGTGAGAAAACCACCTTCCCATCACCAAACGGAAAATCTAAGAACCCTCAGGATCAGTCTACTCCACAGCGTACTCATTTTTTGAGTCGAAGTTTAGAATTGAATTTTACCCAATCATTTTTTAAACCAGCTCAAACAAAACCCTCAAAGAATAGAATCAAGACACACAGAAACTAGAAATTTCCAGACCAAGATGACCTACCTCTTGAATTTTATCATCGAATCAAAATTCAGGAAATCAATCGAGATTATGTTAAAATTTGGAATTCGCTCTTAAGAGACGAATCTCAGGTGAAGAGCATTGCTGAGGAAGTAATTCAGAATTTCAGACACAAGACATACGACAGCCTGTGTAGCACACCGAACGTGTTGAGCGCCCCACCGAGCAGCCGAGCACGTCCTCATAT